ATAGTTAAGATCCTAGCTCTTGTACTATTTTAAGAGCTTAGTCTTCTTGTTAGACTACTATGTTTGTTGCGTGTGCTGTAGCATCTTGCGGGCTATTGTCTTGATGCCTGAGAGTGTAGGCATAGCCGCTATTCCAGTCGGGGGTGATGGGTGCTGGGCTTCTAGGTTGGCAAGTCTGTCTGCTGCTTCGTTTCCTTCAATGCCTAGGTGCCTAGGGGCCTATTTGATTGAGACGTCGTGTGTCTCCATAGCACTGTGGCACTCCAGGAAGGCCTACTGTAAGGTAGGGGGTACGTCGCCCCTGAGGCACCATATGACTGAGGTGCTGTCTATGCATAGCCAGATTCAGCGCGTGCGGAGCGCTGGTTGTCTGATAGTGTGCTAGAGGCCTTTCTACGCTCTAGTTGCCTTAGCGTTAAAGACGTGCGAGGTAGAGTAGAGTAAACTACGTCTAGTCTGCAGTTACTTTCTATTCTAATACACAGCAAAGCTATAGGTAACCTACTTTTCTCCTTCCTTTGTATACTGTTTAGAGCTATCTAAGAAGATAGTAATGTCTAAAGATAGAAGGTTAGCCTACTATTCTTAGAAAGCCTTTACTGCAGACTTTTTATCTAAGCCTATAGTAGGGTCTGTGCAATAGCTAGGTAAGTAGTAAGGGGTAGATAGTGTTGTCCTAGGTATCTTAGGCAGAAGAGATCCTAGATACTAGACCTTGGTCTGCATTCGCTGCAGCTTTCTAGCTAACCTGCCTATGCTCATCCTTATAGCTGCTGTGCGACTGGCAAGTAGATGTTCTGCATCTACTGTGTGTAGATGTGTTGCAAAGCGGAGTTTGGCTTCTTCCAGCGTAGTGGCAGCAGAGGGTAGTCTAGCGTCTTAGAAGAGAGTAGCAATAGGGGTTGTTCGCCACACTGGGAGGATCCCTCTTGCTGCTATAGCTAGTGTTTTGTCCATAACCGCTATGTGCCACCCAACATAGGTACTGACTTCTGCTAGTCTTCCAGGTTTGAGTGTACGTGGAGGTTTAGTACGGCCTCTGTACCAGCACTCAGCCCCATACAGAAGAGACGGGTATACGCAGGCGAGGGTAGCCTTGCGAAGGGAGCTAGCTGGTGGTCCGTAGGCTGTGTTTGCTAGGCTGCGGATATAGTAGGCTACCTTGGCTGCTTTTGCATTGTGCGTGGCTACATGCTGCTTAAAGGTAAGTTTGTGGTTAAACCAGATCCCTAGCTATTAGAGAGCTGGCTAGGTTCTTAATGTGTTTAGCAAGATTAGATTAATTGTGTGATGCTTGTCTACTACACAGGGGGGTGCGTAGCTGCTCTTCTGTTAAGTAAGGTGGATTATTTCTTATTTTTCTAGGGCAAAGGTAACCTTGTTAGCTGTGCCCTATGCTCTAATCTGTTGTAGGTCTGCTGCTAGGAGCTCAACGTTCTTATCTAGGGAGTGTGAGGCTTGGTATAAGCATATGTTATCTGCGTATCTAAATCTCTTCTTTGTGTCCATAGACAGCA